GTTTAAGAGGTCACAGCTGGTGGGAGGCTATCATTTCCTATTCACAACTCGGTAAGTTTGCTCGGGGGCACTGTCGACCTCTACTCTGACACAAACTTATTGCTGGTGTAAATCACAGTGCAGCCGCACACCCTGCTCCTGCCCTCTCGCCATGAATATTTTAACAAGTATACATACATACTGCGCTGCCTTACATCGCCTAGAATGTTATTGCTCGCCTGAAGTTATGTTTGAATTATGCTTTTGTCTCAGGAAGTGCAACTTTGGATTTTTACATCTTCCATGTATGCAGAGCCATCATGGTGACATATTGGATAAAAAAAAAATATCCAAAAGGAATACCTCCCTCACGCACTTGATGTTGTTTTCTCCACGAGGTTACTGGGGACACAGAAGCGACGGGGTGTAGCCACGTTAATGCATCTCTGCTCAAAGACAGATGACACACCTCCAGACCTATCTGTTCATCTACCTCCACAATCAAGATTCACGGCTCTATTTTCCACTGCCCTGTTTGCTAGAGGTGCTCTGTTTTCTTTGGTGTTAAATGAATTAAATGGGCCGGCTGCCAAAAGCACTGCTCATTCCACATACCAGATATAGCATCCCAGGTATATATATATATATATATATTTACACACACAAGTCTGGAGTGCACTCACACGTTGCCAGCTGCTTATTCAAAGTAATTGATTTTTGGTTTCAGAGCTCCCTACCATGGCCTCTATTTGTAAAAAGGTCAAATGTTAATGTCATGGATCATGACAAAAAAGCATTTTTACTGACTGTGAGTTATATTATGCATTACATATAAATGCCAGTAGAGAATTCCACACTCGAGCGCACAACAAAGTTGCTGAAGAATGTCACGGTGATGAGCACAGTTGCTCTTCTAAATGAGCAAGTGAGCTAGGTGAGCAGCAGACAGCCGAACCCCGGCTCCACATGACTGGCTCCGTCAGCGGCAGCATACGGAGGCCTGGCACTAGCCAGGTGGCTCTTACATCTGGCCCATTAGCTCTCAACCACTGCAATGACTCTCCACGCCACTGAGAGCCTGTTGAAATAATATCATCGGGACCTGTAAGTGCTGAAGGCCACCTTGCCCATCGCCTGCTCAGAACGGCGAGTCATGGCCACAAGCCACATCTGACCTGTCAGCTCTGAGGCCAGATCCACTCCCGAGAGGACTACTTTGTGAAACCGTGTCCACTGCTGAATGTAATCAGGTTGTTTAAGTTAATGCAGTGACACGATATGGATTTGGATCAAATGAATCAACCAGATTAGTAAAAGTAGTAAAAAGCCTGTTCCTCATGACAATTTTAAATACTTGGAAGGGAAATAACCAAAGAGAAATAAAACAATTTGAGACCTTGGATTCTTCAAGGTTGCGTTTCACCATTTATGATGTTTTATGTATTCAGAGACGTGTCAATTACTCTAAAAATAAACAGAGGCAGCTTTGAAGTAATGAGTTCAGATCAGCATTTTGTGTCCTTTGGCCAACTTATAATGGGTACAAAATGACATTTATAGTTTATTTATGTTTCTTTGTATTGCATCTAGCTAATGAAAAGTCATTATGGTCGACTATCTTTTAAATCACACAAGCCAAATAAACAAGTTATCACCTCACTGTCTGTCAGTGAAGCTGCACAACAGAGGCCGTGTATCTCTCCAAATACAGAAATAAAAAACTTAGAACAGTTAAACTGCTGAAGCTTAACTAACTCATAAAACACATTTAGTTTTTTTCTCTGAGAACAGTAGCATGAAGTCAAAGAGGATGCTATTAGTGCAGCAAAAGTTAAATGATGTTTTTCACAGCAGCAGCAGAGGTAAATATTATAGCTTTGTCTGGACCCTCATGTGAATTCTGTGTCCCTGTCAGGTCATTGTAGTTAACGCAAACAAAGTGGCCGGGTCTTTGGCCTTTACTTTCCAGCCTCCATGCAGTCCCCTGACTCTCATGGACAAACCCCCCCCAGCTCCAAAAGCATGCCTCCTGCCCCGAGCACCGCACAAAGTGACATATTCTATCCATCAAAAGCAGCACTGCAAAAAAGTGCAGGGATTGCAAATTCATCATGCATATGATGTTCGGGCTGCAGCACATCCGCCTACGTTAACCCAGGAGAACGACAGAGGAGGGGAGGCGCTTTGAAGATGGATTATCAGATCACGTCACAAGAAAAGAGGCTGCTATGAGCAAGCACCAATTTCAGGAGAAGGCACTCAGAGCGAGTAGAGTGTGTGGGGAGAGGAATACAGATGCTCATTTGCTATGAAGACTTTATTTACGTCAACAGAAAAATACTGTGTATTATTGCTGTCAAACACTTGTGACCCCAAGCTAAAATCTAGTCTTTCTTCTCATCAATCAGAGAAAATAGATGTCACGGCCTTAAAATCTGAAATTATAGTGCCACTCGCATATTCGCAGATAAGTGGCAATAACACAGATGAATTTGGAATTTGGAATATGGTGTAGGCAATCTATTTCCCTTGAAGCTAGGCAACATTTGGCATGTTGAAAATCTTCACTTCAGCACCGTGCTTTACGACTGTAATTCTATTGAGCGAAAAATTAAATGCATAATTCAGGGTTGAACAGGCTGCCCCATTCATTTCACAAAAGGGGACCGAGCCAAAGAAAGGAGAAAATGGTGATCCGTTGATTTTTCCTTGGGCTTGGTGAACACTTCAAATCTTAAGCGATGAAAAACCACAGACAGAATATATGCACACAGAACAACAAACCTAACAATTCCAGGGACTTGTGATCTCGAAGAAATATGCACAATCAAAACAAATACGCGCAAAAAAGAATTCGACATCTGCTTGAACATCTTTCCTCATCATCCGGCTCTCTTTGGATATTGCTGTTGCTGTTTCTTTTACACAAACATGATTTCAAGTGGTAGAAATCAAATGTGTTGCAATTGTGAAAAGAGATAGTCCACTCACACTACAGGATCACTTGGGCAGATAATTGACCTTGCAATTGTCTGAAGGGGTAAATCACACCCAGAATTATCCTCTAGTGAGGCGCCTGCACTGATTCATCATGACTGAAAAAACTGAAGACGGTAGACGTGAGATGATTGATTTTTCTCCTGCTGGCAACTTCTCTGTAAAGAACAAATAAAATTTAAAAAATCCTTTTTTGTCCTTAAATGACAAGGCCTTGCTAATGAAGTTGCTCCTAAATAAAGAAGGACCAGCGTAATGACTGCCTCACTCTCTTGCCAAAAACTGCATTACTGAGCTCCTAATGGTTTCCCTCGCCTGGAAAATAAAAACGTATCTGCGGGCGTGCTCCCAGCAAAACTGAATTAAACCCTCCGAGAGGAACTGTGGGTGGAAACTAGAGAGTCCAAATGTGTGGGGGGGGGACGAGGCTCAGCAGATACATAACCCCATTCACAAAACCGGGGGCAGGGGTGGCCATTATCATAAACTCTCAGAAATTAACAATAATCCATGACATCCAAGGTTAGCAGCTCTTTCTCAGAGGTGCTTTTCCTTCTCAAGGACAGCGTGTGGGGGAATGTGCAAAGATGGCTGTATTAGCAGTGTGACTACACAACTCTATAATGCTACCAAAGACTGGTCCCACTAATTTAAATCCATTGAAAACTGCAGAAATGAGAGATGAATGAATGAATGCAGATATGCAAAGCATCACTTTTTTAAACATGTACGGTAAAAATGAAAAGATTTCATGTTCTGCATATGAATAATCTGAAGGCTGCCTGCTTTCCTCATATTAAGAGTGCACACATTGTAATTTTATGATTGAAACCGTTAACAAAAGGTAACTATGAAGTTAAAAAGCTGAAGTTATTTCTAACTTTCTGAGCCAGAAACAGTTTCTTGACAGATGAAAAATATGTCATCACTCGGACATTATGTTTTTAATTTATTTAATTGTTCTGCATATTTCCCAAACATTTCCTGCTAGCCTCCTTGGGAGCCTCCTTGGGATATGACTATCAGATTGTAAAGCAGTTATAGTTGGAAGATTTAAACCAAACGGGATTCAGATTTACTCATGTGAACCCTGATGCCACAGCTTCGCAACCTTTTCAGCAACAGATTAAGACCTGAGGCTGCCGATGCTGATGCAAAATTGTCGGATCCCTGAGAATTGAGTTGAACTTAGTTAGTTTTGGAAACAACGACCAGAGGCCAGGTTGCAGACTTTCTTAGAAGCAGAACTTAAGCGTGAGTGCAAAGGTCGCAAAAGTTTATATATATATGTGCACTTTTAAACGGATGTGGAAGAATTTAAGTGACCTTGTGTGGACTTGGTGTCGTCTTCTCTCCCTCTGGCTCTGATCAGTACTTTTCTATTGTGTGCCTTATTTTACATTTTTACTGTGAAGCTACACTTTTACATCTCGAGGCTTAATTTTGTTTGGGGGGGGGGGTGATTTTGAATCTGGTCAGAAGACGGATCGCACCGAAAAACTATTTTTTCAAACCTTTGACAGGATCTTTGGAGGAAAGCAATTAATGAGACTTATTTTTTCAATATCACACACGACTGGAGAAGCCCACTACACAGAAGAGGAAGAACGTGGCTCAGGGATGAGGCCGACAGAGTAAAGCGAGATTTTTAACCTGGTGATTAGACGAATGCGTTGACATGGACAATGTATTCCTCGGCCATCTCTGCCATAACCCTGTGGTTTGTCAATTGAATCAGACAATTACTGCTAGCTCAGCAAGTCAAACCCCTGCAGCTCATTACGGCGCACTAGCTCGCTGTAGTTCGTCCGGTGAGTCAGACTCCCGCAGCTCATCCTTTCAGTTGGCCCATTGTTTAAGATGTCACCTAAAAATACACCTGAGCCGTCACAGCCATCCACAGAATTAAGGAGTTGGATCACTCCGACCCCATCACATAATGAATCTATTTGATTTTTTGTTTCCTCTGTACACCCAGTCTAACTCTGAAATAAGCCTATTAGAGATTCAAGTAACGGACTCACCAAATACACACAGTTTCCGCTGGTCAAGTTCTGAAACGACAGAGCGGAGTCTTCCGCCTCTTCACTGGCTCCAGTGTCATTTTCTGCTTCCTGTGATGGATAAGAACAGTATAATAATTATTATAATAGTGCTTCTCTAATATGTTCAATTCCACAAATTGTCTTTCCTTCCAAAAAAACATTTTTAGATTCCTCAACTGGAGTCCAACATAGAAAGACAATCGAGTAAGAAGAAGGCAGTGGAGGTCGGGAGATATCAGGATGTCTCTGTCCCGACATACAGGCAGGAGATGTTGGTGGCACAGATTTCTTTGTGGTTGTTCTTCCTCTCTATAAGGCTGTGTGTGTTGGAGACTCTACAGGTCAATGGCATTTTGTGAAATGTGGAAAATGCCTGACAACACAGATTGATAAACTGTGTTGCAGATGGAAAAAGCAGCAGATGCAGGGGGTGTGGGCTTAAAAACATGGTGCAGGTTTATTTCTACAAACTTTATGAACAAGAATACAGCTATCCCTCACATAATCCCCACCTCCAACAAATCCACATAACACATTTATTTATTTATTCTCTCTAAAAATAAATCTTACCACCAACTGCGACAGTTCTTCAAATTAGAATTGCTTGGTTACACAAATTATTGCATTTAACAGAAATTCTTCCATCTTGTAAGATAAACTGTACAAGCAAGGAGTCTTAACAAAAAATTACTAAAACAGTGAATATGGTAAACATGAATATGTATTCTATTCTTACACATAATATTTTAATGCTAAACAACTAATAGTGGCTGTGTTTTACGACACAACCCGCCACAAGTCTGCCACCTCTGTCACTGTGAAATACACGAGAAAATACAGCACGAGGCGATATTCAAAATAATGCATCTTGAGAGTATAAAACGTAAAAGGGCGGTTTGATCTGTGATTAGACAAGGTCACGATTGGCAACATGGCTGCAGGATGAGGCAAAAGGGAGGGCGAAGTATACAGAGAGGTCTTTAACCTCTATGGCTCCTTGCCTATTTAACCACTGGATCAACAGGGAACATATTATATAGGAACATATTAACTGGTTAAAATATAAATATACAATAATATACTTTGCACCTACAGCAGTAAAACTACATGAACACACAGTTATATGTTGATACTGGACATTTTAATTATAAATAAATACACTCACCTGTTGCAGAGGTGCATGAAACTCCAGCTGCTGCATCTTCTCCTCCCTCCTTCTCTCTCCTCAGGGTTAGTTTTCCTGGAATTCTCGCTGCAACACAAATATCCTCTCTCTTACTGTCTTGCAATGAGTCCGTGTGAAGTTAAAGGATTTCAGAAAGTTAAATGTTCTTTAACTGAAATCTTCCAGAAAAAGATTCCTCCTCATGTCAGCTCTCATTAAAGTCATGTCGATCAGGTGTGTGAGCATACGCAGCGCTGCACCTGTCACGTGGCCTGATGGATGAGATCAGGAGCTCTGTATCTGTCTCTACCTGTGGAGCTGTCAACACAGTAAACACACACTTTCTAAATAAAACCATTTGATTTTATCTTTGTTTTAAATACTAACAGTATTTGCAAGCATGATTTGTTTGGATATGGTCTGAAATATGTTTTTAATCTCGTAAATGTAGTATTTTATTTCATCATAACGACACATCAGGACATATAAACACATTTAATTTTGACAATTTGGACTTAAGGAGTAGAAAATCTAAATTATCTTGCCACCAGTGTAAAATATTGTCTGTGTTTGTAAGCAGAAGTACCCATTACCTGTATTTCATGTTAATATATTAAATATAAATACATGTGTGTAAAGTGTATATATATATATATATATATATATGTGTGTGTGTGTGTGTGTGTGTGTGTGTGTATCAGGAAATAAAAATGATAACATGTAAGTTTAAGGCTTTTAATCATTTATTTCCCTGTGCAATAATAACTCACGGGTCCAAAGGGAGGGGCATGCTTACTTGATATTCATGTTATTCACTTAATATTTAGAACACTAAGGGTTAAACAACAAATTAAGTTTCAGACCCACCACTGGGATTTATTTTTCCCTTTTTAGTTCCTCTCAAATGTGAATTTAATATTTTATAAAATCGTCCTCATATGTTACAAGAAATAAACACATTTTTCAGCTGCTTTAGATAAAAAAAAAAAAGGAAAAGTCTATACCCCTGGGTGCTGTGACTGAGCTTCAGAGTCAGACTCCCCAGAAAAAGCCAGCTTGAAGCTTGTAAATCTTCTTCCCAACAGAACATATCTAATCAAGTTTGCTCGCTGTGTTTGTTTCTGCGTTGTTCTGACAAAACAACAGAGCAGCGGGGTGTCATTTTGATTACGGAGACCACCCTTCAGCTGCAGGATGCCTTGCTCGGGCCCCCGTGTTGGAAAGCATCTGTCCCATTGTTGTGTGTCTCAGAGCCTCACAGTGAACACCCAACAGCTGAAGGGGAGGGAGGGTCTGTTCTCTCTGCCAACTGAGGAGAACTTCCATCAGGGTCTCAGACACACTTGAAGAATGAAATGAAGATTTGGTGGTTCTGCTGCATTTTGGAAAATATTCAAGAGAAAAAAACTTTTTCTTTTTCCAGAGGCCTGAATATGTAGAAGTAGAATTTGTTGTATGTGTGTATGTGTGTACCTACATTTTCCTGATATATATTCATATAAAAAATGTTGTATGTCAATGTGTACATTTCTTATGTACATAAATAACCATCAATATATATTATTATAATTATAAATGTAAATATTAAGGATAGACATGTATGTATGTATGTTTAAAATTAAAAGAAAAACATGTATATGCATGCAGAAATTATTGTTAATATGTTGTTTTAATAGACTGATATATATCAATAACATATCTGGTCACATATATAATGCAAAATAAAGTATTATAAAGCTTTTTTGATAAATGTATATAAACTATTTACTCAGGTTCATTCAAGTTTATAAAAAAAATATATTTATTTACTATAGCAACTGTTTCTGCCTCATCATCTTGAATGTTGAATGACAGAATCATAAAAAGAGATCAAAATCAGGCAGATCTGATGGTGGTAAGAGTGATGGGAGCTTGTTAATTCATAATCACCCTGAATTAATGATTGAGTGAGACTGAAAGGCACAGGGGCATATGGAAAAGAGAGGGCTGCAGATGCTCCCCAGCGCCTAGGGGGGCTTCGAGGAATGGGAGCAACTCAGTGCCTCGTCACACACAAACACGCCTGTATGCATGCCCATAAGCATCAACACACACACACACACTATCCCAAATCATCTCTGATACGGAAATGGTTTCGGTTTTATTAAGCATTCAGATCACATCATTGTAAATCTTAGTAGTTTGGATGTTGAAAGCCTGAGGGAACTGAAATAATAATAATAACTGGATTTGAAAGAGGGATATTTTCTGGACGGTAAATTGCAGAGGGATTGCGTGAAATAAGAACCAGTCCTTTTTATTTACTCTCCTACTTTTGTCTGAACATTGCTGACCATATCAACTCGATTAATCAAAAAATAAAAAGTTTATCCTCTAATTGATTTTTGCCAATTTTAGCTGAAGTGCTTGAGCAATTCAACCATTCACTCCATATCTCTAAACTGGATCGCAGCGTGGCAAACAGACACCACAAGTATAAACTGTAACCAAAATGAAAACTGTCTTCTCCGGGGATCCCTCGAGTGGGGGCTTCCTTTTTTTGTTTGACCAAAAGGATTATCTGGACAAACCACAGCGAAATCTCAGAGGATTCATTTCTTGGTTCAGAGGATATTGCACCACCCTATCTTCTGACGTACAATATAGCCAAGGTTTGCTGGAATAAGTGTCCAGACTGTGGCACTGTGAGCGGCGTCTGTAACTGTCTGCTATCAATATGTACAGCCGGCTTTAGAAAGGAAAAAAGAAAGTTATATCCCCTGACAGTGAAGCCGGGGACAGATGCCTCCCTGGTGCTTTGCGAAAATTAAAGTTTGCAATCCCCCAAAAACTGCAAATGAGGTTTCAAAAAATAAAAACAGGTATTAGGATCTTGGAATGACCACTGGTGATATTTTTTAATCTTTCTTGTTTTCAACTTCTTCTACACTGTACATAACGATGACAGCAAGTGAGGCTACAGTGTTTTGATCACCACCTAGCAGCTGGCTGCACTATAGGACATAAATCCAGCCTCCTCCATTTTCATGGATGGGACATGGACCCCAAAACTTTTTTTTGAGGTAGTTATTATCACACATATACATCCAAGTGCTCGTTTTACAGTAAGTTATTGGATGCTTTACAAACCCCTGATTGGTCGAGTGCATTCCCGGATCATTATTGTGCAGACTCTGGTTCCAAGTAGAGATGTGTTGTCCATCTTTATATACAGTCTATGATTTAAACAATTTTTTACCAAAAAAAAAGAGACTCAGAGGCTCATGTTGGTACTCCCCATTGATACAACATTAAACTTCAAACATACAGCATCATCACCATGACTCATTTGTGACCCCACACTGCAAAAACATTCAGGATGAAGTATCTTCAGCTGATTAGGAAGGAATAGCAAATGATTAAGGAGGGAGCAGCGGTTTGTGAATGAACCAATCTCCCTGATTAGACTTGCACCTAAGCTTCATTTAGCTGCTATTGAGACCAAATAATAGAGACTAAACAGTGTGGGCTCATGCTTAAACACGCCGTTTGAGCACATGGGTGTTGAGGGCTAATTCCACTCCAGTGACACACACTTTGGACTCGATTTACAGCTTAAGAGTTGCAGCAGTCGCTAAACACTAGAAGCATTTTCATATTGGTGAAACATTTGCAATGTCATTTTACATATCTACATTTTCATATCAATATAAATGACTTTGGGGTACTCGTCAGGGTTTCTGCAGGTTTCACTTTTTAAGACGATAATGAATGAAGATATATGTCAAGTTAACATATGAAGGAATATCAGAGGCCCAGAATTGTTTAGCTTGAGTTAAGAATAACCCTCTAAAGGCAACATTATCTTGCAAACTTTGAAAACTTAAAGCAGGCGTTTAATGTCTTTAAGATATTTTTTGACATTGCTAAATCAGATTATTAGTGAATTTTACACCTTGTGGAAACCCTGCTCATGCTGATCTTCAGACCGGCTTCTTCCCAGCTGCCACACATGAACAGAGAAGAGCTGAAGAGTCTTAACTTCACAACTCTGACTCGCTGCTGTGTTGATCTTGGGATCCTTTTTTTTTTTCAAATAACTTGGGAAGATTTTTCTGGGCTAGGCCATCCTTCCTAAAATAGGCTGTCCTTCATCTTGATAATATAATAAGGTCTCAGATGTTGGCTGAGAATATTAGCTCCCGCCTGCGATTGCTCCAGTCTTGTAGGAACTGTTGCGCGGCTTCCTGCTTCTCTGTTTGAGTTCACTTTTCCCATCGTATTGAAACATCTTTATTTGCAGCACTCCAAGGTCACCGCTGTGGTTCACACTGATAGGAAGCCATCAATGTGGGATGAACTGCTGATTCGTTTGAGATTTGATCAAATATAAATGGATACACAAACACATCGGCCTATTATGTTCAGCTAGACGTTAGTTGCTGAGAGTAATTTCTTCCCCTTCCTTCTCTCTTCCCTTCCTGTAAGTCTATAATCTATAAGACAATACCAATAATATCTAGAACAAGAAAAAAGTATGTGTTACTCTGTCCAACTGTCATTTATCTGTACATCTCTGTCTCTATGAAAACTGCTTACATTAAACAGGCAAAGAACCTGTCCTATTATAAAGTTGAAAGAAATATTTGTTGCTGAATAATGATCGTCCCCCCTAAAAATACTTACTTTGATTAATAAACCCCTCAGTTTGTTGCGTGTGCGTACGCTACAGTAGAGCAGAAGGCTGACGGGACCACAGATGTAGTCTCCTCTATCTGTGGATTTGATAACACTGATAACTGTGAATCTTGGCTGCACAGATGCTCACCCACACAAGCAGCGTGCACATCACACACTATATAGACGGATCTGCTATGATGAAAACCCATAATGCTTAGGCTCTGAACTGAATCATAAGGAAAAGTAAGGGGTGCAGCTGAAGTAGATTGTGTCACAGTAATCTTAAAACTATATCGAGCTAAAATTATCATGCGATCTCTCGGGTATCCACTTAAAGATGAATACAAGTTATTGACACGTTTCCAAAAGATCATTTGCAGCAACTAAAGGTCTGAGCAAGGTTTTGAAAAAGTGACTGGCAGCAGTACAGATTATAAACTTGACCTCCTCTATGTTAGCGGATGGGACATGGACTGGAATAAATGGTCTAAATGGTCTTTTTGCCCTTCACCCTTTAACACACACATTCATATGTGCAGTTTCTCTATGAGAAGGGGGAACTTTG